GGGGGCTAAAAAAAACAAACAAACAAAAAAAAACAAGATGAAACAAAACAAAACAAATGGGAGAATTAAACAAAGTGGGTGCATTTAAAATAGAGAGAGAGAGAGAGAGAGGGAGAGAGGGAGGGAGATTGTGTGTGTGTGTGTGTGTGGATATCGTAATGAGTGAACACGTATTTATTTATTTTTTTTTGTGCCCGCATATTTATTTATTTATTTTACGTTTGCACCGCCATAACGCACATAGACATTTTCACCTGCCACGATGATTTCCTTTTTTTTTTTTTTTATTATTTTTTATTGTGATGTGTACATAATGTTTTTATATTTTTTATTTACACATGTATATGTTTGTATTTAAAATGTATGTGGGGGGGGAGAATACCGCGGGGAATAAAAAAAAAAAAAAAAAAAAAAAGGAGATCATCGTGGCAGGAACAAACATGAGAGAAACAAATAGAGGAAAAAAAAAACAAAACAAAACACACACACAAACCAAAAAAAAAAAAAAAAAGGAGCGGATTGTGTTTATGCGGGAATGCCCTTCTGTGGAAGAGAATCGATCCAAAAACGGAAAGCCACAGAGGGGGGAACAAACAAACAAAACGAAAAAAAGAAAAAAGAAAGAGAAATAAAGGGAGATTGAAAGGGAAAAGGAGAAGAGGCGCCAGGGGGCGACGGTGGGTGGGTGGTTCCAACCCGCATCGCTGGAAAAAAACTTTGGTTGCTCTTTTTTTTTTTTTTTTAATTTTATTTTTATTTATTTACTTCTTTTCAGGCACTCAGCACTCATCACCGCATTGGCGCATGCGGTGACGGCGGGCCGATGGCAAAAAAACAAAAAAAAAAACACACGCAAAAAAAAAGCCTTTTGAACCGTCGTGGGAGTGGCGGGTACACTCGCAGTGGGATTTCTTTCTGCCTTTTTCTTTTTTCTTCCGTGACTGTTTGCTCATTTCACAAACGCAAAGGGTGATGGTGGGAGCAGAGCGTTCACCACTGCAGTGGGGAGGAGGCGGGATAAAAGAAGAACAGGTATGGGGCGAGGTTTTTGTATTCGCAGAATCTCCACACCTAAAAACAAAAACGAAAACAAAACTGCACTGTCGATGCTGTGCGATGCACAAGAATCCCATGAGAAATTTTATGCCACCACATAAGATGCAAGAACGGTCTCAATCAGATTGTAAAATGTGCACAAAGAAGAGAAGCAGATCGAAGACTCACCGTTGCAGTGCAATCGTTGCGAACTTACGGCTCAAGTGGAGACAGTTCTTTTTTTTTTTTCTCGCACAACCGATGCAGCATCCTGAAACGCGGAAACACGGAGAGCACGGCTGCGTTCGAGCCCGCTATTCAATGTGACATATGCGGCGGGTGGGGTGTGACGCTGGGTGCCTGGCGGTGCACGCAAGGCGACAATGCCTCATGAAAGCAGGCCAGCGGAGTGCGCTGATGCCATGCGATATGGGCTGTTGGGATAGCACTGTGCGATGCTCCTGCACCTGGGACGGGCGCTGCGCAAGTGGTGGCTGTTGAGTGGCCGGTCACACAAATATTGCGACAACACAAGGAGAAAGGACCAAGCACTCCGCGTGTAGGGAGCGTTGCGGCCGATGAAGACTCTGTGCAACGGTGGTGGACGCTCCCTCGACGACGGATTGACGATCCGTCCCATTGGTAGAGTCGGTGCGCACGCGGTGTGTATGGCTCTGTGTTCTCCTGCTACTCCGCTTTTTGTGCTTCATCCTGACGCAATACTGGCACTAAAACATTTTGTTTTTCTTATTCCGCCTTTTTTCCTTTGTCTCTCTCTCCTCCCGCAGTCAGGCTGCACTGCTGCTGCTGCCACTCACACGAAACCAATAAATGCGATTTGCTCAGACCATTCGCCAGCCACGCCACGCCGCTTCTCCCACTGGTGGTGTTGCTGCTGGTGTACTGCGCCAGCGGGGTGTATTGTCGCTGCACCCGCTCTGGAGCTTCGCCGTGGATTTGACACGGTGAGGAGGCGGGGCGCGTTGCAGGCGTACACCGTCGCCACACAGATTGACAGCAGCGGTTGGGAACCGAACCGCATCGCGGTTTCCACGGAGGATCTGGAGAACACGAACAAGAGAAATTACTGCGAAGAGGGAAGGGATGAGTGCTACAACGTCTTGGGGGACACAATGACTTGTAAAGTCGAGCACCCCTTGACGGAATAAAGGAGGCATTTGCACACTGAGAAGATTATACACGGTGCCGCCCAATTGCATGCTGAGTTCTTCTCCATTTCTTGTGCGATGGACCTCCACCGCCAGCGCAACAGGCGACGAGGTTGCTGTTGCTGTTTCATCTGTTGTGTATTCCCCACTGATACTGCGAGGTGCGGGGGTCGGACGTGGCGTCAGTGGGGCGAAAATAAGGGAGGAGGAGGATGGTGCGTGCGTGCGGGAGGGCCATGGGGATGCATGTTGCGGTGCGCGGCAGAGGAGGGCAAGGGAGGGTTCCTGCGGTGTTGGAATGCCGCGCAATGTTTGCGGACTCGATGTGCCCTTTGTTGCATGGCGTGTTTTGGTGTCCCTTTCTCGAGTGTGTGATGCCACCGGCTCTTCACGATTGTGGCGATGACGTGTTGACAGCGGTTTGGGTTGGCGGTAGCTGTTCCGCCCTCTGGGGCTGCGAGGGTGGATGCGTCACAGTGAGCTACACCAATCGCGCACGACATCTCGTACGCGAGCAAGTGGTGCAGCGATTGCCGACGGGAGGCGGCCCTCTTGACTTTTTTGATCCTCTGGCAGCCTGCAGTCTCAGCTTGAGTCGTGGTGGTCTTCTTTTTTTCCACTCCTTCCGTTTGTGCGTGTCCGCAGGCAGTTACGGCTTCGCGCACACGTCATGTACACCAGAGTGCACGTGGAAGATTTTTTTTGTCTCCGGGGCTGGCAGTTGAGTGTGGCTGCTCTATTTTTTCTTGGCCGTGAAGGAGAGAGAGACACGGGGAGAGTGTCATGCCGTTTTGCTCCCTGCAGCTGCAATGCACTCCGTACGGTCGGTTGGAGTGAGGCGCCGCATGCCGTTAAGTGTGGGATGGCAGTGGAATTTTGGCGCCCATTTATGGATGGCTGAGAACCAACTTCCTCGCGTGACTGGTGTGTGTGTGTGTGTGTGCGGTCTCGCAGTCTGTGGGCTGTGGCTGCCTCTTGCCATACTGTGTGCCCTCTTTTTGCTTATTTCCATGCTGCGCCTCTCTCCCTCTCTCCCGTTCTGTCATTCACTTCCCCACTCCGTGTGCAGATTAACGGACTGACCCCAGCAACACTAGGAAGGATGATGACTACTGTGATGACGACGACTGCGCTGCGCCGTGAAGTGTGCGCCCTGTTGTCCCTCGCGCTGTTGTGCTGCTGCGCTCCCATTTTCGTGACGGCTGCGACTGCGACGGGGGCTGCTGTACAATCAACTGATTTGTATTCCGGAGCGTCTGCAGTGAACGTTTCGGTGGAGATCTCGTGTGCGGACAGTAACAAGACGTTGCAATGGCGCTTCCCTGGCCAGTCAGAATGGACTAAGTGTGCATTCGCACAGGGTGCTTATGAATACACTGTTGTCGCGAGCAGTGGTGATTATGACTACACTGGATACAGTGTGGGTACACCATCTGATACTATTGAAGTTGTTCTTTTGGATTCTACAAGTGGGGCTTCTAATCGTGTTGATGATGAGTCACTCTGCCTCTCGGCCGACCGGATGTACTTGACTGCAAAATGTAATGCATCCTGCAATTCATCCGTTTCGGATAAAACCGCGTTTACAATGGAATTTCAAACGACTAACGAAAGTGGGGTGTACAAGAAGTCGCTGGAAAATAAAAAAGGAAATAATAATCCTGCGGGAAGCACCTCGGGCATCTGTCCGTTAAAGACTTCTGTTGAAGGGACACCTGAAGGGGTCAACAGTGGAACTCCAGTGGCCGCTGCAGCGGCGTCGGCAGCACAAGTGTCAGGAGTGGGGGCGCCCGCAGCGGGGCAGGATGCAGGCAGTTCGAGTTCAGCTGCGAGTGGGGCCTCATCATCGGCACAGACTATTGAGCAGGGGATATCCTCAGCGGGCCCAAAACCCGGCAACACTTCGCAGCTGCCAACAGGCGAAGGGGTTGGCAGAACGGATGCATCCGGAACGACGCAAACACCCTCAGCCACTCCCGCCAGCGGCAATGGTGGGTCCTCCGGTGCAGCCACGACCGGTGCTGCCTCACAGTCCGGCAACCCGACATATACGAGGGAGACCAACAACAGTGCCGCCACCGGAGCGCAGGGTCCCGGCACGTCGGACAGCAGCGCCATCGCCACTGCGTGGGTGCACACACCACTGCTGCTGCTTCTGACCGTCCTTGCATCTGCTGCTGGGCAGCGGTGCGGAGCAGCCACAAACGAATGATGAAAGGTGCGACTCGTCCCCTGTATGTGTGTGTCTATTCTGCCTGAAGCCCTGTGGGCAAATCCTCCACCTCAATTTAGGAAGTGTTTTTGCTATTTTTGTTGCTTTTTTTTTTTAATGGTTCAATTTTTTTACTCTTTTTTTTTTTTTCTAATCTCTCATCCCTTCTTTTTTGCTTCTGCCACCCACACGCCGTGCCGGCCTCGCTGCTGTGCGTCCCACGGACTGCACAAACGAGGAGTGGAGGAGCAGGCCGGATGCCGCATGGAATGTGAGGGTTGTTGTGTGGGCTGGTGGAGGAATGCGATCTTTTCTCATGCTTCATTGCTTATTTGTGTGCGGGCAATGTACGCCCACACCCATTCCCCTGTGTTTTGGGGACACGTGAGATGAAAACTTTTGCTGAGAGCAGTTTCTTTTCTTTTTTCCGCCACCCGGGAGTTTTTTTGGACTCCCAACTTTCTTTTGTTTTCTTTTTAAGTTTCCTGCTGCTTTTTTTATATTGTATTGCCTTTCTGTTTTCTTGCAAATCATTTCCCTTCTTTTGGTTGTTGCTTTAGGGCAACCACCATGGACGTTTTTCTCTTCTGCCTTTTAATTGTTTCCTGCTGCGCTCCTACTGTGAGGGGTGCCGTGTGTTTCCCGCCCAACTGCTCCACTCGCACACCCACCGACACGCTCATGACGACGGCCCTGTGCGCCTCGCCTGCTGCACGCATGAGGAGGGGCCGCGACGAACGGCGCGCTGAGGGAGCCGTGACGTGTGGGCGTGCGACGAGGGCCTGTGGGGCGGCGCACACATTTATTTCCCTCTTGTTTTGTTTTGTTTGCGGCCAGGGCTGGCAGACACCCGCAGCGCCACACACACAGCCACACCCTGCCGCCGTGTGTTTTTTTCTTTTATGTGGATGTTTGTGTGTGCTGCTGCCCTGCGTGATTGTTGGGGTTGTGGCTGTACCGCATTTATCGCTGCCATCCAACTGTGCCTCTTGCTGTGCTGATGATGTGCCTCCCTTTGCTTCTTTTTTGCTACTCCAGCACACACACACAAATAAATAGTCGCACAGTGCTCTGAAGGAATGTTTTTGGCGACGACGGCGGCTTGCGTCCCGTGCTGAAATGGCGAGGCCGCTGCGTGTCTGCCTGCGGTGGGAATTACGGTGCCATTGGATGGATGCGTGTGGGACGCTCTTTGCATTCTGCTGGAGGCCGACTGACGCGGCTGCACGATGCCCGCCATGCGTGAGGGTGCTGCCTGCTCTTGGGGTCTTTTTTATTATCCCTCTTTTTTTGATCTGCCGTGTGCGGGCGTTGCTCGGTGTGTGCTGACGCGTGACGAATAACACACCCGCCGTGGCTGCTGCTGCTGGTGGTGGCAGTCGCTGTATGTTCCCGGTCCACTGTTTTTCCTTCTCATTCCGTGTGTCTGTGTGCGTGAGTTGTTGTTTTTGGGAGTGACTGCGGTGGGGATGATGATGCCACTCACTGTGGATGGGTGGCCATGTTCATTGTCATGCTTTTTTCTCTCCTCTCTCTTTCTCACACACAAAGAAGGAAAGAAAGCAAGGCTAAACTCTAATCGCTACCGTGAAATTCGAAGGCTCTGAAAGGACCAACAACGGCACACACACATATTTATATGCTCTCACGTGCTATTATTGCTGTCAAGGCACCCCGTACACACAACCGTCGCCGCGTGACCGGATGCGGCGGTGTAATGAGGGAAGGAAGAGAGAGTGAGCGGCAGAGGCCCACCATGTCCCGGCATGTGTGTGCTTCCGCGGTGCTGCTTCTCCTTGTCGTGATGGTGATGTGCTGCGTCGCCTGTGGAGGGAGCGGGGAGGGGTGAGGGAGTGAGGGTGAGTGACAGCCGATTCCGTCTCGCAAATTGGGGTTTTCCACACATGTGTTTTCTCCCGACAGCCACTTGCGGCTCTCAGGCCGTGGAGAGGGAGAGGGTACGAAGGACTTGCTTTGGTCAGGAGGAGGATGAGTGGAGCAAGTCCCTTCCGTGGCCTTTTCAGTGTTGTTGGCGCCAAGTACGAGAAACATAAATTTGAGCGGTTATAAGATGAAATTTTGATGCTGTTCCGTGTATACTGCTCGATTGCCGTTACTTCACAAACACGTCCACGGTGCGATTTGGTGCGGTGCTGGCCGATGAGGGGAAGGCGATGGTGTCACTGGCGTGGTTTCGTCTGCGCGTCCTTGTGTCTGTGGTTGTGCCGTGGTGTGGATTGTCTGTTGCCGGATGCTTCTGCGTGCCACTGTGTTTAGTTACTGTTGCTGCCGCCTCTTTCTTTTCTGACTGTGCAGATAGAGTTACTTTGGCTTGACCAGCACAACTATCGTTTCTAGGTATTAGGAGTTGCTTGCAGCAGTGGGATTGGCGGCAGCAGGATAACAATCTGGCGGACCTGTTTAATTGGATTCGCCATCTTAGAAAGGGATCACCAGGC